GCCCTCGTCCGCGTCCACGGTAAAGAACAGGCAATCGTTTACCACCCGATACCTGCCGCCACCAAAAAACAAAGTTAGTGAGTGTCGTGTCGTTGTGTGCTGTCGCTTTGATGTAGTTGGTGCGTACTTGTTGGGTCTGTTGGCCGTGTTTTGGAAAATGATCTCCTTGGCCTCATCGGCCAGGTCCACGCTCACCACGGAGTCGGTCCCAGTGCCTGCTCGAGGGCCTAGTGAGTGAACTGAAACACACGACGCACCGCACCGCACCGCACGGGGCCGAGAGGGAGAGTGTACCGGCGGCGAGGCAGTTGAGGCTTCCACGGTAGGCGAGGTTGTAGGTCGACAGCTTGAGGGACGACGGTCGCACGCGCGCCCGCAGCTGGATGGTCGCCTTGTGGTCCTTGACCAGGCGGCAGCTCACGCTGATGTCGATCGTCTTCTGGACGGGGGCGTCGACGTCGACCACCGCATCTCCGCCCGGTGCCTGCGCCTGTGTCCCGCAGGAACCATTTGTTGGTCAGACTCCAATCACCCCCGAAAACAGCCAAGCAATAAATAAATGTCTGAGCGCACCTGGAAATGGACAAAGACGCGGACGGATCGTCGGGCTTCGATGTTGAGCGCGTTGAAGATCTTGAGCGTCGTCTGCGAGAGCGAGAAGCCCACTTCGATGTTGTCCGCCCGAACCGTGTCGTCCGTGAGCTGTTTTCACACACACACACACACACACACACACACACACACACACACACACACACACACACAAGGAACGAGGCGAGTGAGTGTGAGGCCGCACGAGGCAAAGGCTTCCAATAAGAACTGACTCAGTGGTGGCGGTTGTTGTTGATACCAGGAAGTCGAGGGCCATGTCGGACTGGTTGAGGATGATGAACGAGTGGTCGCGGTAGACCTGATCGTAGTAGACGTCGCCCAGGTCGATCACCGGGTTCTCCGTCTGCTTCCCATCCACGAGCACGCCGAACAGCACCTTCTCCTGCGACACCACCTATTGCCGGGGATCCCATGACCAACCAATGGGCTGGATTAGCGTCACGCATGGGTGTGTGTGGTGTGTGTCGTGTGTGTCGTGTGTGTGGTGTGTGTCGTGT